TCCGATCTCCCCAAAACCCCAAAACCCCAAAACCCCGTGTATCAAAAATAATTCCTTGAAATGATAATTGATTAAAATATATATATAAAGTTTGTTAGTATAATAAAATGAAAGGTCAGAGATAGAATCCTTATGATCAGTAAAGTGATAACTACGACGAGTCTGTGCACAATTCTGAAGAAGATGAAAACTTCTACACAGATAGAGAACACGCTAATAACTGTAAGCATCCCATATCTATTTACGAACTCACTTATAGCTAACCAGAGAAACTCTAATTTATAGTAATAGCAAAAGATGAAAAGTAATCTAAGTAAAGGGAACTTAAACAATATCAACATTAGTCCAGATAATATGTACAGCACAGCTTCATTCGATCAGTAACAGCTTCAGAAAAATTAAGCAAATAAATCTAGCAAACCTCAACCAGTTAAAGCCAAGCCTTTCTAATAGTAGCAATTAACGATAGAGTAGAATCAAGATCCGATAACTGCTGATCAAATGGGCGAAATCAATCACAAACTCAAAGCAGAACTAAGTCAACTGATAGATAGACTTGAAATGGCTCTCAATAAGTTCAAAGAACGCAAGGAGAAGGACAAGTTAAGATATGGAATTGGAGCAGGCATTAATGGAGGACTCTTTGGGGGCTAAAATGGCTAGGACTTGCCAGATGACCTGATTTAGAAGGAAAAGGAACTTAAAAATGCTCAATAGAGAGCTATAAATGTAAAGAAGGAGATATAGAAAATCAAGAGGAAGCTTGACACCAATATTGATATCAATACTATCACAGAACTTGAAAACGAGATCAAGAATAAAAAGATACTCTTAGATAGACTAGAGGACTAAAATAACCAGATCAAAAAGGTAGGATTTTAGCAGTAGAGAGCGATGGAGGATTTGAATAAGGAAGAGGAGCTGAATTCTTAGTTATCTTAGATAAATATGCAAATCAGACAGATTAAAATTGACACCCGCTAGATAAACGATCAGTACAAGGAACTAGACAAGCAAATGCAGGAGGAACATAAGGTTATCTACGATTTAGAGGAACGTTTCAGAAAGATCAATGCTCTCATCAGCACTAAAAAGAGAAAGACTAATAATAGTCAGCATGAGTAAATCATCGACCCAGATGATTAGTTAACAGAGGAAGAACTCGAAATGCAAATAAAAGCACTTGAAGACTAGAAACTAGATGGCGAGCGAAAGGCTAAAAAGCAGATATCAGACTTAGACAAGCAACTACTTACAGTCAAGGAAGAGGTTGAGGTGAATGAGATTAAATTAAGAGGAAAAGAGCAGGAACTCAAGATAGCTGACATTAGAGTCAGAGATCTCAAAAGGCAAATTTAGGTTTTGTAGCAAGCTAAAATCGCTTAATCGAACTAGCAGTCGTAACAGGATACGCCTCACTAAACTCAGCAGCAATAGTAGAATCAGTTTCATGATTAAAATTTGGGATAGTCAAAGCAAATTAAAAAGGGAGGTCTTTAACAGCAAAAGCAGCTAATTCAGTAAAAGATTGAATGATATTTAAAATAAGAGTAGTCATTTTATAATTTATCAAAAATTGATTTACATCAATGTGTTCTTTGAGGGGTTTTGGGGTTTTGGGGTTTTGGGG